ATTTGTGGAAAACGTTGTGACTTAATTCTTATTGAGACCGTTCTGGCCTCATACACATCCCTCAGAGAGACCGGCTTTCCAGACTGCTTCAGTGGGAGGAAATCTTACCGCATCGCTGTGGTTCTGCGCTGCGAAACCCTCTACAGAGGCTCTTCAGCTCACTGTCCACCGTGTGCGCTCCAGTCCGCGCTGAGCACCAGGGGCGGATTTAGGACTGAAGAAGATCCGGGGCTTAACACACGCACGCGCGTGACACGCACTAGTCAACATCATATTTGTCTTGTACCACATAATTTTTAATCTGAAGCTACATATGAAGCATTTTCAGGGCAGAGTATTGTTCCTGTTAGTGTTTAGTGTGAGATGATAGTAAATATTTCCTTTCTTTCTCCAACAACTTTACCTGATAAGCTAACTTTAGGCAAACCAGCAGCACAACAAATATTTTCTAATAAGACTCACAAACCTGAGTCAGCACCAGTCTCATCAAAGCTGGGGTTCTGTCGTTGTACTTTTGGTCTAAAAAACGTCCTTATGTCCATCTTCACTCATGCGTTTCAGGCAGAGAGTGCAGAAGAAGCCGGCTGCTGAAGGGCTTCGTGCTACACAAATAAACAGTAGTGAACAGATCCCGGCACCACAGCAAGGCGTGGATGACCAGACATCAGGTTCCTGCTCACGGCCCAGACAGGTCTGGTGGCGCCCAACATTACAGCGTTGTTAGGTCGGAGCTGAAGACGGGCGCCAGACGGGCCAAGGTGGCTCAGTGGACCACTCGATACCTGATGCTGGTAATCTATATTCCTAGTAATGTACTCGAATAAAAGCTTTAATGCTATAACAATGGCCTGATCGTACTTTTGCTGCCTTTTGAGGGAGAGAAGATAAAAGCAAGCACACTCGTGCTCTCTGCTGAGGCCCCGCAGGGATGAAGAAATAAATAAAAACAGAATAAATGAATGAATCTTTTAAAAGTGTTTAATTCAGTATTGTACATGATACACACGTTAAAAGATCAAAGCACTGCAGCCTTTTAGTTTTGTTCAGGACTGTTTAACTCGTTCACTGCCAATGACGACTATAGTCGTCATTTACATGTTTTTACTGCGTGGGCGTCGGACGAGCCCCCACACCGTGAGAACAAACATCCAGCTCTAAAGCCGATCTTCATCCGCGTACGTCTCACGTCACGTGATCAGGAAGCAGAACATCCATGTGTTAGGAGATCGTTTTGGGCCGCTGCTGTAAAAAAAGTGAGGCGCAAACCGGAAAAGCTTCGCCGATCACAATTCAACAACGGATTATGAAAGAACGGATAACGCTCGAAACGCGCGGATTCTTCCTGATGTAAGAGGTGAGTCTCCGCTTTGTTTTGGTTGTTTTGGCAACTTTCCACACAAACTTTCGACATCATCCTAGCGTGTGCAACGTTCTGTGACTCTTACAAAAACTGTAAAAACGGTGAGAAACGCTGGCAGTGAATGAGTTAATTCTAGACGTACGTTTACAAATGAAAACACTGGAAGCCCTTTTACAAACAAACATGCTTAAAAGGTAAAAAAAAATCATTTATATTCTAAACATTTTAGGCCTGTACTTTTTACAGAGGAGCTACTTGGGCTGCACCTGGGCCGAGCCCTTCGATGAGCCTTTCGGGTCACCTGAGAGCAAAGCCATGATGTCCTGAAGAGCTTTTCGTAACTGGACTCCAAACCTGCGGGAGTCCTGAAGAAGTAGACTCGGTTAAATAATTAATGACTAGAGGATGAGAAACAAGCAACATTTATGCGCCTTAAACATCCCATAATATTCAGATGTTTGAAACAGTAAAAAAAAAAACAACTGGTTTTATTATCTTGGATCTAACGCTGAAAGTAAACTCGCTGCTGCTTTTTACTCTAACCCCAAAGTAAACCCAAAAGTGAAAGTAATCGAGTATTTACTCACAGTCTCACTGCAGGAGTACTTGGACGACACATGGAAGTTTATCATGTCCTCACCAACAATGATGTATGACACCCCGTAACCGTCATCTGCAACCTGGGACGACACAAACGTCACCATTAGCTTCATCTCACACCCGGGTTCTCCGGGTTTCTTCACCCACATGACTTGGGGTTAGGGTCATGAACTTTCCTCAAAGGGACAGACGGGTTTAGGATGTCTTGGTCAGAGTTACCTGGTAACTTGATGTTTAATCAGAGCTTGGTTCATGTTCTAAAACATTTCTGCTGATGAGCTCCAGCAAAGCAGGCGCTTAACTTCCTGTTGCAGATGTTCTTTGGGGTTGAAGATCACTTATAATTGAAAATGTTTAAATCATTCTAACTGACCGGATGTTTAAATGCACTCGAATATCAGCCCGGAAGTTACTTCGACTCCCTCCGCAGGGCGCCGACCCCGTGTTTTATTCTTCTGACAGCCCGGAGCATAAATGGCTGTTTGCCGAGGCCAATGACATCATTCATCACCCCACGTCCGGCTCCGTTCTGGGACACTGGAGAGGACACAGACAGGGCTGGCACGAGAGCCGGATTTTCCCAACTGGAGACCGTGGCTCTCCACCAGAAAGAGTGGAATGCCCCCTTGGCGCTGGCAGAGAGGCTGTCGATGATTAACGAGCACAAAGGACTTACAGATGCAAGACAAATAACGCAAACTGTCTGGAATTTAATGAATTTCTGCACAAACTGGTCATGAAGTGTGATCCGGTTTTCATCCGAGTCACAACAACAATCAGTCTGCCTAAACTAAATCCACACAAATGATTCTGTCTGCAGGTTTTCACCGAACACACCTTTGTCAGCATTCACGGTCCGGGGGGGGGGGGGGGGGGGGGGAGAGCGTGAACACTTGGATTTAATGACTGGCTGAACTTCCTCTGGCAGAGATACCTTCAGCAACGTGGTCACACACCAGGGGCCTCATTTATGAAGCTTGCTTACGCACAGAATGGAAAACTGCGTCAGCAACTTTCCACACAAGCTTTGGGAATTATACAAGAAAACATGGCAGAAAATGTGCACAACTTTAAGTTGACCAAGGGCCTGGCTTACGCACTTGTGGACATGGAGAGCACCTGCAGTGCTGCTGCCGAGAAGATGCGATCATGAATCCCAGCAGTGATCACTTGTACCGCTTCGTTTTCACACAGAACCAGTAAACCATTTTTTATATCCGCCACAGAGCTCTCTGAAGAACTCAGCATTGACGGCTTCAGCAACGCTGTGCCGCTCCGTGGATTTTCTCTTTATTTGTTTTTCAAAAGCACTTCCTTTCATTTCTCCACCTCACCCACAGGTACCTCAACGCCTGCTTCAGTGAACTAGCGCTTCCTGGATCCGTGGTCACCGTCGTCATTGGCGGAGCGCTGCAACAGCCGGCTAATGTACAGGTGCTTCTCAAAAAATTAGCATATTGTGATAAAGTTCATTATTTTCTGTAATGTACTGATAAACATTAGACTTTCATATATATTAGATTCATTACACACAACTGAAGTGGTTCAAGCCTTTTTACACTACAGTGCATCATTCATCCATTCACACACACATTCACACACTGGTGGTGATGAGCTACAATGTAGCCACAGCTGCCCTGGGGCGCACTGACAGAGGCGAGGCTGCCGAGCACAGGCGCCACCGGTCCCTCTGACCACCACCAGCAGGCAAGGTGGGTTAAGTGTCTTGCCCAAGGACACAACAGCAGAATTCTTTGTCCGGAGCCGGGATTGAACCTGCAACCTTCTGATTACTGGACAACCCGCTCAACCTGTTGAGCTACTGCTGCTCCAGTGCGGCGTGGCGTGGAGGCAATCAGCCTGTGGCACTGCTGAGGTGTTATGGAGGCCCAGGAGGCTTCGATAGCGGCCTTGAGCTCATCCAGAGTGTTGGGTCTGGCGTCTCTCAACTTTCTCTTCACAATATCCCACAGGTCCTCTACGGGGTTCTGGTCAGGAGAGTTGGCAGGCCAGTTGAGCACAGTAATACCATGGTCAGTAAACCATTCACCAGTGGTTTTGGCGCTGTGAGCAGGTGCCAGGTCGTGCTGAAAAATGAAATCTTCATCTCCATAAAGCTTTTCAGCAGATGGAAGCATGAAGTGCTCCAACATCTCCTGATAGCTAGCTGCATTGACCCTGCCCTTGATAAAACACAGTGGACCAACACCAGCAGCTGGCATGGCACCCCAGACCATCACTGACTGTGGGTACTTGACACTGGACTTCAGGCATGTTGGCATTTCCCTCTGCCCAGTCTTCCTCCAGACTCTGGCACCTTGATTTCTGAATGACGTGCAAAATTTGCTTTCATCCTAAAAAAGTACTTTGGACCACTGATAACAGTTCAGTGCTGCTTCTCTGTAGCCCAGGTCAGGCGCTTCTGCCGCTGTTTCTGGTTCAAAAGTGGCTTGACCTGGGGAATGCAGCACCTGTAGCCCATTTCCTGCACACACCTGAACACGGTGGTTCTGGATGTTTCTACTCCAGACTCAGTCCACTGCTTCCGCAGGTCCCCCAAGGTCTGGAATCGGTCCTTCTCCACAACCTTCCTCAGGGTCCGGTCACCTCTTCTGGTTGTGCAGCGCTTTCTGCCACAGACTTCCCACTGAGGTGCCTTGATACAGCACTCTGGGAACAGCCTAGTCGTTCAGGAATGTCTTTCTGTGTCTGACCCTCTTGCTTGAGGGTGTCAATGATGGCCTTCTGGACAGCAGTCAGGTCGGCAGTCTTACCCATGATTGTGGTTTTGAGTAATGAACCAGGCTGGGAGTTTTTAAAAGCCTCAGGAATCTTTTGCAGGTGTTTAGAGTTAATTAGTTGATCCAGATGATTAGGTTAATAGCTCGTTTAGAGAACATTTTTATGATATGCTAATTTTTTGAGACAGGAATTTTGGGTTTTCATGAGCTGTACGACAAAATCATCAATATTAGAAACAATAAAAGGCTTGAACTACTTCAGTTGTGTGTAATGAATCTAATATATATGAAAGTCTAATGTTGATCAGTACATTACAGACAATAATGAACTTTATCACAATATGCTAATTTCTTGAGAAGGACCTGTATACGCATCCTGTATATGCTGCTGGTTGGGGCAGCAGGTAGAGTGGGTTGTCCAGTAATCAGAAGGTTGCAGGTTCGATCCCGGCTCCGGACAGAGAATTCTGCTGTTGTGTCCTTGGGCAAGACACTTAACCCACCTTGTCTGCTGGTGGTGGTCGGAGGGACCGGTGGCGCCTGTGCTCGGCAGCCTCGCCTCCGTCAGTGCTCCCCAGGGCAGCTGTGGCTACATCGTAGCTCATCACCATCAGTGTGTGAATGGATGAATGATACGCTGTAGTGTAAAGCGCTTTGGAGTCCTTACTCTGAGAGGCGCTCTACAAGTGCGGGTCATTTATCATTCATATGTATGGAAGAGTGTCTTCAGTCAGAGGCTTCTTCAGTTTGGCTGCAACACTGACCGCTACTGGAGATCCTTCCTGCCAACAGCCGTTGTAATATACAACACCTCTTTGATGACTTGATTATTATTCTGAGCTACTACAGCAATCAGTTTCCCTCTGGGATTAATAACGTATGTTTGAATGAGATCCACAAGGCACTTTGCATTGACCATTTATGGCAGGAAGTGGGCGTGTTGAGGGCGGGAAGTGATCCAGAAACACCCGAGCACATTTCAAGGTAGTCTCTGATTTATGAAGCGGAGGTTACGTGCAGCTGTGTGTACTCCATGTTTGATAGATCACAAACCTGCTTGGCGTGAGTACGGTTTTAGTTGCTGAGCTTAAGTACGGTTTTAGCAAGGACTCTACGTAATGTTTTATAAATGAGACCCCTGACCTGCACAGGGGTCAGGGGTCATTCTTCACCAATCCATTTCAGTTCAGCCATGTTCTTGGGATGTTGGGTGTGAATCCTCGAGGTGTGCTGTCCAGCATGTTTTAGTTGTTTCCCTGCTCCAACACGCCTGATTTAAATCAACAGCTGGTTAACAGGCGTATGCAGAGCACGATGAACTGCAGGCGGTTCATCACTGAACTAAGTGTGTTGGAGCAGGAAAACAACTAAAATGGTGATAGAGGCCCTTCAGGACCAGAGCTGACCACTCCTGTTCTGGAGTCATCCCTCAACGAAGGACAGGACGTACTCCGCCAATACATCAGGCGGGCGTGAGAAAGCCCCCCTGGTCTGTGAAGCTGATGCTGGGATTAGTGGGTTGAGCTGAAACGCTCGTATACGCTCACACATGTGGAACCTTTCTGATTCACACACACACACACACACGCACACGCACACACACTAAACTGTTTTTAGGGTCATGACAGTAGTGGCACGCTTCCATACGACTGCGTGGTCAACAGTCCAGGTTAGCCCAGCCCTGACCCTAGACAATAAAACACACAGCTGAGTTTTACTGCGTCAGGTGGAAAACACACAGATGTACTTTGTTAAAACGATGTTAAACGTGGATCACTCACAGGTCCAAATCCTCCACCAAGTGAGACGAAATCCGGGTGGTTCTTCAGGTCGAACAGCTCCATCTGCTGGATGGGAGTCTGACTGGTGGAGAGGCGCCAGGGCTCAGACAAGACCTGGAGGAGCAGCGGGTCAGGATTACATTTGCAGTGTTTGTGGTGCAGCTTCTGTCCACCATCTGAGACTTGTAGATCAAACGTAAACCATGTGGTAGTGGAGACAAAAATCTTTTGCATCATTTCACAAAGACTGTGCATCTCCTGTAAGCCCCATGAGATGTCTAAGCTGCAGCTGTTCCACTCCTGCTTAGACTGAAGATCAGACTGACATCCTCATCTAACCCTCAGTCAGGAATCTTGGCGTGACCTTTGACCCAGCTCTCACCCTGGATTCTCATGTCAGTTCTCTTGTTGGCTCTTCCTTCTTCCATCTCAGGAACGTTGCTAAGCTGAGTCCCATTCTGTCCCGCTCTGAACTTGAGACAGTTCTCCACACCTTCATCTCCTCACGCTTAGACTACTGTAACTCTCTTTTCACGTGTCTGAGCAGAACCTCCCTGAACCGTCTACAGGTGGTTCAGAACGCCCAAGTCCTCCACACACACCCACATCACCTGTAGCGTCCGGCAGCATCCTGCTCTCCAGCGCCTCCCTCTACTTCCTGTTCCTGTTTGCTTACTCTGAACAAAAGACTGGGTGTAGTACCACACAGATTCCTGGTCCAGATGGACGAAGAGGAGGACTTTACCTCTCTGAGGAAAGGCGAGTCCACTCCCAGGTATTTGGAGACCACATAGAGGCAGAAGAGGTGTCTGTCTATCCCAGCTCCCGTCATGGCCATTCGATACAGGTTCTGGTGTTTCTCAGCGGCCCGGCGGAACAGGCGACGGCAGTCCTCCTCCGTCTGAAACACACCCAACCACAGGGAGACCAGGCAGCTTTATCGCCTCCCAGTGTCCATTTAGGGAAGCTCGTCTCCTCACTGTGCGCTGTCTTCGCATCTTAATCTAGCAGCTGAAGTGTCTCCTTCATCAGTGTCTACAGGAGCGAGTCATCACTAAATCACATCCACCAGCTGTGTTCACCATCTAAACAAGGTGCTGGAAGCTCCACCAGGTCAGCTTTACTTCTACACCTCATTAATATTCACACACAGGGGCAGTTCGACGTGCTTTCCGTTAGCGAGAACATTAAATACACACAAACGACATTTTCATATGAAAGTAACAGAGAAGGACAAAGTTAACGGGTGAGCCGTTACAGCGCAGAGCAGTCATTCAAAGGCTGATGAACACATGAAGGCTACCAGAGCTGGGGCACATGTGAGGTCATGAGGAAGCGGACTCCATCTGTGAGCAGCACAGTAGCTAAAAGCAGCTTCACCCTGTTGGTTCTGACCCGGTTCTACCAGCTGACTGTTTCCTAAGGACCTCAGTGCCGGCTGGGCCACAGGAAGGAGATCCAGCACGTAGTCTGGCCCCATGCTACTGAGTGGTTTATAAACTAGTGGAACTAGTAGAAGTAGTTACTAGTAGTTTACTGGTGACCCGTGTAGAGATCTAAGAACAGGGGTGATGGTTCGGTTCTCTTGGTTCTTGTGAGGACTCTAGCAGCAGCGTTCTGAATAAGCTGCAGCTGCTTCACAGCTTTTGGGGGAAGACCACACAAAAGACCATTGCAGTAGTCCAGCCGGCTGGAGATGAACACATGAATGAGTTTCTCTAACCCCGGCTTTCCACGGGAGCCGTCAGCAGCACGTTACTGCAGCAGCACGTCATAGCTGCTGATAGGAACCGCTGTGGTCAACAGAACCTTTTCCACTGGAGCCGTCAGCAGCGCGAGTCGGCCGCGTCTCAGGAGCAGCATGTCGCGGCCTTTACGCGCCGGTTCTATTTTCTACGCGCGACGCCTCTGAAACGGGTCAAGTTCGACATTTTTGGGGAAGGAAAGACAGGAAATTGGACGCGGAAATGTAGAGAAGCTCCCGAGATTTTCAGAATAAAGAACGTACTGCTTTCCGGTTGCTTTACTTTAAAAAAGGTTACTAACTGTGCGTCCCCGTGAGAAGTTATCACCTAGCTAGCGGTCTCCTTTGTTTTTCAGGTCCGTATTGGCGATTATAAAACGGACAGAACATAAAACACAAACCATGTTGTAGTTTTCTCCTGCTTGTTGTTGTGTTTACTGACGAGGTCACTCGTGTGACTTCGTGCTCGGTCGGTGACAGCTGCTCCCCTGCTGCTTCGCGTCTCGTGGGAAGGGCCAAGCAGCAGCTTACGCGAGCAAGACGTGCTGCTGCAGTAACGTGCTGCTGACGGCTCCCGTGGAAACCCGGGGTAAGTCTGGTCTGGACATGAGACCTCTGAGTCGTGATATTTGATGAGATGATAAAACGCTGATCTAGTTCTAGCCTTCATGTGAAGCTCAGGCCTGAGTCAGTGGTCCTTGTTAATGGTCACTTTAACTAGGGCTGGGGTAAACGATTATTTTTAAAACGATTATTCTGACGATCATTTTGAGATGTTAGTGAAGGCGGAGAAGAGGGCGAACTAGAGGAAAAACAGGCAGATTCCTCCTGTATTTACAAACTCCTGGGGATGCAACAAGTGGGCGCGGTGCGTGGACTACCGGATCTGACGTCGACACATTTTTAGAATCGAGCCGTCGACGCCATCGACGCTTCGCTACAGCTTTAATTTGAACACATACTGGCTCCAGAAAATAATATAAAATATGAAAGTTTCATATTGTCGCTTTAATCTGGTTTTCAACTCTCTACCTCGGCCATGAGAACCTCTCTTTTAGTTTAGTACTTAGTTAAACTGAAGTTTGGATTTTGATGAGCGATATTACCTCCCTGCCCTCCAGAGCCTTGACGAAGGTGCAGCTCTCGCTTGAGCAGGATCTAACCGTCTCTGTTCGTCCCTCCCTGAACAAACGAGTCATGGATGCCTCGTACGTCAAACAGAAACCACCACGGTCCTGCAGACAAATTACAATCAAATAAACCCACGCAGACAGTTAGACTTAAGCCGGGCGGACACTGTGCGACTTTTTCACTCGTAGCACTCAGCTTCAGCTCAAACTGTACGACTTCCTCGCAGGGCAGATCTCACGAGTCATGTGCTCACACTGCACGTCTGGTAGCAACACGTCGGCCCTAAACATATGCTAAAATAGCAGTTTTTACTCAACACGTCACTTTTTTGTCTTGCCTGTTGTCCTTCGGGAGTGCTGCAGGAGGACACACAGGGATTTATGGGGGTTGGATGAGGAAAACGAAATAAAGAAAGTAAATCTGTGTTTTGTGATCAGTTTAATTTGACATGAACACGACAAACACGCTTTCTTGACAATCTTTGTGGGTAAAAAAACGTGTAGAAATAAAAACGAACGTGTGTTATTAGGGAAATAGCGAGCGGCGTTGATGCAGGATTGCACATGCGCCGTGAGCGGTTCTGAGACTTTTTGTGTCGCAGCGCCGCTTCAACAGTGCGATACCCTCACGAGGGACGAGCAAAATATCAAACACGCCAGAAGTCCGTGTGAGCTCACGATTGCTGATGGGTAGCTGGTCACGTGGTGTTAATCGCCTCTCGTAACCCCCTGTACACGACGCTCAGCGCAAAACTCGCCCTGATCTTGTGGATTCTCGCACGAGTGGAAAATCTGCTCAAAAAAGTGAAAAAGTCGCACAGTGTACGTCCGGCTTTAGGCTGCAACTAACTGTCGAGAGAGAGAGAGCGAGAGAGAGAGAGAGCGAGAGAGAGAGATCGAGAGAGATCGAGAGTGAGAGAGATAAAGAGCAAAAGAGAGAGAGAGATCGAGAGAGGGAGAGCACGAGAGCAAAAGAGAGAGAGCGCAAGAGAGAGCACGAGAGAACGAGCGAGAGAGAGAGAGCACGAGAGAAAGTGAGAAAGCGAGAGAGTGAGAGAAAGAGCATGAGAGAGAGAGTGCGAGAGAGAGAGAGCACAAGAGAGAGAGAGCGAGAGAGAGAGAGCGCAAGAGAGCGAGAGAGAGAGAGAGCGCAAGCGAGAGAGCGCTAGAGAGAGATCGAGAGAGAGAGAGAGCGCGAGCGCAAGAGAGAGAGAGAGGGAGAGATAGAGAGAGCACGAGAGAGTGAGAGAGCGTGCGTGAAAGAGCACTAGAGAGCAAATGAGAGAGAGAGAGCGCAAGAGAGCACGAGAGAGAGTGAGAGAGCGCGAGAGAGCGCGAGAGAGAGAGCGCTAGAGAGAGAGAGCGTGAGAGCAAAAGAGAGAGAGAGCAAAAGAGAGAGAGAGAGAGTGCGAGAGAGCGCTAGAGAGAGCGCGAGAGCAAAAGAGAGAGAGAGAGAGCGCTAGAGAGAGTGCGAGAGCAAAAGAGAGAGAGAGAGCGAGAGAGTGAGAGAGCGCGCGAGAGATAGAGCGCAAGAGCAAAAGAGAGAGAGAGCAAAAGAGAGAGAGAGCGTGAGAGAGCGCTAGAGAGAGTGCGAGAGCAAAAGAGCGTGAGAGAGCGCTAGAGAGCAAATGAGAGAGAGAGCGCAAGAGAGAGAGAGCGCGAGAGCAAAAGAGAGAGAGAGAGCAAAAGAGAGAGAGAGCGCGAGAGAGAGCGCCAGAGAGAGAGAGCGCGAGAGCAAAAGAGAGAGAGAGCAAAAGAGAGAGAGAGCGCGAGAGAGAGCGCGAGAGAGAGCGCCAGAGAGAGCGCCAGAGAGAGCGCCAGAGAGCAAAAGAGAGAGAGAGAGAGCAAAAGAGAGAGAGAGCGCGAGAGCAAAAGAGAGAGAGAGAGCGCAAGAGAGAGAGAGCGCGAGAGCAAAAGAGAGAGAGAGAGCAAAAGAGAGAGAGAGAGCGCGAGAGAGAGCGCCAGAGAGAGAGAGCGCGAGAGCAAAAGAGAGAGAGAGCGCAAGAGAGCATGAGAGAGTGAGAGAGCGAGAGAGAGCGCCAGAGAGAGAGAGTGCGAGAGCAAAAGAGAGAGAGAGAGCAAAAGAGAGAGAGCGCGAAAGAGCGCTAGAGAGAGAGCGCGAGAGCAAAAGAGAGAGAGAGAGAGAGTGAGAGAAAGAGAGTGAGAGAGAGAGTGCGAGAGAGAGAGAGAGCACAAGAGAGAGAGAGCGAGAGAGAGAGAGCGCAAGAGAGCGAGAGAGTGAGAGAGAGCGCAAGCGAGAGAGCGCTAGAGAGAGATCGAGAGAGAGAGAGAGCGCGAGCGCAAGAGAGAGAGAGAGGGAGAGATAGAGAGAGCACGAGAGAGTGAGAGAGCGTGCGTGAAAGAGCACTAGAGAGCAAATGAGAGAGAGAGAGCGCAAGAGAGCACGAGAGAGAGTGAGAGAGCGCAAGAGAGAGAGCGCTAGAGAGAGAGCGTGAGAGCAAAAGAGAGAGAGAGAGAGAGTGCGAGAGAGCGCTAGAGAGAGCGCGAGAGCAAAAGAGAGAGAGAGAGAGCGCTAGAGAGAGTGCGAGAGCAAAAGAGAGAGAGAGAGCGAGAGAGTGAGAGAGCGCGCGAGAGAGAGAGCGCAAGAGCAAAAGAGAGAGAGAGCAAAAGAGAGAGAGAGCGTGAGAGAGCGCTAGAGAGAGTGCGAGAGCAAAAGAGAGAGAGCACTAGAGAGCAAATGAGAGAGAGAGAGAGCGCAAGAGAGAGAGAGCGCGAGAGCAAAAGAGAGAGAGAGAGCAAAAGAGAGAGAGAGCGCGCGAGAGAGAGCGCCAGAGAGAGAGAGCTCGAGAGCAAAAGAGAGAGAGAGCAAAAGAGAGAGAGAGCGCGAGAGAGAGCGCCAGAGAGAGCGCCAGAGAGAGAGCGCGAGAGCAAGAGAGAGAGAGAGCGCGAGAGCAAAAGAGAGAGAGAGAGCGCAAGAGAGAGAGAGCGCGAGAGCAAAAGAGAGAGAGAGAGCAAAAGAGAGAGAGAGAGCGCGAGAGAGAGCGCCAGAGAGAGAGAGCGCGAGAGCAAAAGAGAGAGAGAGAGCAAAAGAGAGAGAGCGCGAAAGAGCGCTAGAGAGAGAGCGCGAGAGCAAAAGAGAGAGAGAGAGAGAGAGAGAGCAAAAGAGAGAGAGAGCGCAAGAGAGCGCTAGAGAGAGAGCGCGAGAGCAAAAGAGAGAGAGAGAGAGAGAGTGCGAGAGCAAAAGAGAGAGAGAGAGCAAAAGAGAGAGAGCGCGAAAGAGCGCTAGAGAGAGCGCGAGAGCAAAAGAGAGAGAGAGAGCAAAAGAGAGAGAGAGCGCAAGAGAGCGCTAGAGAGAGAGCGCGAGAGCAAAAGAGAGAGAGAGAGAGAGAGAGAGAGAGAGAGAGAGAGAGAGAGAATTTACCCTGTAGTGCGCCAGCTGTAAGCTGATCTGTATGAAGGCGTCAGGGCTGACGCGGCACTTCTTGATCCGACCCTTTCCAAACTCTCTGAAAGGAAACACGTGGCAGTCCACGTCTGCTGCTAGTGCCTGGACGACAGCCAGGGAGCGGCAGACTTGAGCCTGAAGCTAACAGACAGAAACAATCAGAAACACGACCAGAGGGGAACTTCTGCTCATGACTCGGTGAACTTTATCTGAAACTCGTGTGTGACCCGGTTTCATTTCCTGGGTGACAAGTGTTGCCTCTCCAGTAGGCTGTTGGTGTAGAGACACTTTATGTTCAGGCTATTATGTCTATTTTATCTATTTTTAGGAGTACAAATCAATGTATTCATAAAAAGATCCATCCTAAACAATCTCAGAACGTTCTAAGAGGAAAACAAAAGTAACTTCTTTTGCACGTTTCCTTGATGCCCTCCTCTTTGGGACTCCGGTGTGTTCCTGAAGCTCTCTGCATGAAGAGATGTCAGCAGCTTCTTTCAGCTGTTTTAGGGCTCTGTTACTCTGCAAATCAGCTGTTACTGACCACGCCCACTCAGCCCCTGATTGGCTGCTATGAAGCATAGAGCTCTGAGTAGAGCCACCCTTCCTCCACATCCAGAGCAGAAGCCTCCCTAAGTTTCGACAGGTCAGCGTGGTGCTATGCTAAGTTTCCTTATTGTGACATCACAATAAGGGACTTTTTCAAACGGCTTATAGGAGAATCCGATTCCTGAAACCAAAATCTGACAGTTAAACAAATGTTTATAGAGGCAGCGGAGACCAACATGGCAGCACAAGAGGATACAAAAGGTGAGACAGGTACCTCTGGAGGGATGTCCCAGGCAAGCCTCTGAGGTGGGGGCAGCGAGCGCTCGACCTCGCCTTTACAGTGTCCATCTTGTGTGTAGCCCAGATGGAAGGCGTCTGTGGCCAAGGTGTACTAAAAAGAGAGATCCATCAGTGGTCTCTTCTCAGCCACGGACTGGAAAGACCAACAGCTGGAAACTGAACAGGAAACAGTTCCTCTGAACAGAACCTGCCGGTGTTTGAAAGCAAAAGCTCTGAACAGGTGGCTCAGGTGAGGGTTGGGGTTCGTTAGCTGATTAGAGTGGGACTGAGTCTGGGGTTAGGGTTCTGTTAGAAAGCCTAAATCGACCTCACGACCTTTTCACGCCGAGTTCCAGGGATAATTAAACAAACACACAGCAAGTATTTACTCTAAATGACCGTTTCCCTCCCTCGTCTCAGACCTAGAACTGTTACTGCCAGAAAGAGTTCCGGTGAGTTTTCAGACACATCGATGACATGTGAGAAGCCGTTTATCGTACTTTTATCGTTTAGCCAGCATGTAAAGAAACGCACCTCCCAAAGGTGAGCCACTGTCGGAGCGTCGGCCCATGAGTGCTCTGCGTTGAGACCGTTCTTCCCGTTTTTGTAGATCACGATGGAAAAGGATTTATCAAACCACCTAAATGGAGAAAGGGGCGACAAGGATGAAAATGTGTTTATTGTCCCGAAAATTCAGCCGAGAAGTTTCTGAACGTAGAAACAACGGACAAAATGTACCCATACACCTTCGCCCAGATCCAGCTACAGCCCTTCCAAGGTGAGTCCACACTCGACTGGTTGATGTTCTCAGCATTACAGGACACACCACCCCAGGCAACGTGCCGTTACCCGGTTTTTGTCCCGGTAAACCCCAACCCTACCCCTAAAGTGCATCTATCCTGCCACCCATCAGTTTCTGTCTGTGATGCATAGAACAACATCCCACACCTCTCTGTGTGGCTCGGCCCGGCCCAGCCCAGGAGGCCGTTAACGACCTTGGACAGCGTGTCAAGTTGGCGAGTTGAAGGAGAACTTTTAGTTAATGACTTTGTGCTTCCATCCCAGCTGAGCATCAACCAGCTCGGCTCAGGATTTGGTTTTTTACGGGATTTTAAATTTGTGTATAAACGTGTGTGTGTGTGTGTGTGTGTGTGTGTGCGTGCGTGTGTGTGTCAGCCCGAGTGATTTCTGGACTTAAATCATTAGGATGTGACACGGTGCTTTAACCACACCACCACTGGTAGCAAAAACCGGAATGTGACCCCTAACTTCCCATTTTCATGGCCGATAATCATCAGCAGATTGGTGGGTGTGGCTTCAAAAAGCATTCAAATGGCTCATTCTGGAAGAAACTGAAAATGTCAGGAATAAAGTTGCTGAGATCCCTCAGATGTAGTGAACAAACATTTGAATTGACCACAGAACCATATAAACTCTTAAAAGTCCTAACATGTGCCCTTAACGTTACGGTCTAGATGCACATTTTCTTGCCAAGAACCGATAAAATACCACCAGGTCTTCATTTCCTCTGTAACCTCACCTATCATAACACTTTCCATGGAGCAGAGACTTGGCGTAGCGGTCCAGGTTTCCAGCCGGGTCGTCTCCTTTCATTCCTTGCTCCTCGTCGTCCAAGGTCACGAAGAAGGCTGCCCTCTCTATGGCATCCAGTGACCTCCTGTTGACCCCAGAGCTGAAGAACTGCTTCCGCATCTGAGCCCAAGGGCACCTCAGGGAGGACACAATTAAATATTTCACTTTTGTGCTCAAATGAATGATTAGATGTGCCAACGAATGAATCTCTAAAAACCTGAACTTTAATTGTGAAAAACCATAAAAGAAATAAAAGAAAAGTCAGTGACCAGTTAAAACTAATGATGCTCCTGCTGGGAAGTCTGGCTGAGCTGTAGAGCTCCAAAAGGAGTGGGCTTCTCACCAAAAGTCCCAGAGTTGCCCGAGTCCGAGACCCGTGACATCCGTGTTAGTGGATGGTGCGTTCCCACCGGAGCTGAAGCGCTGCGTCCCTACGCTTCACCACGACACCTCACCGCGACACCTCACCGCGACACCTCACCGCGACGCTTCACCGCGACGCTTCACCGCGACGCTTCACCGCGACGCTTCACCACGACGCTTCACCACGACACCTCACCACGACACCTCACCACGACACCTCACCACGACTCTTCACCATGACGCTTCACCACGAAGACTCTTCACAACGACGCTCCACCACGACGCTTCACCGCGACACCTCACCACGACTCTTCACCGCGACGACTCTTCACAACGACGCTCCACCACGACTCTTCAACAACGCTCCACCGTGACGCCTCACCACGACGCCTCACTGCGACGACTCACCATGACTCTTCACCACGACTCACCACAACCCCTCACCTGTTGCAAGCTCCCTCATGTCAGAACCACAGAAGGTGATAAAGGAGGCCACAGAGGAAGAGGACACAATGGGAGCCGGCTACATGGGAAGCAAAGCGGAGCCTGCTGATGCGAGTGGAATCGAGGCAGGTGAAGACAGGAAGTGACCCAACTGAAGAAAGCATCACAGGATGTGATGCTCTCTTTCAGGAAGTTTGAACTTTGGGTGGACCTGAAACCATCTTACAAATGACAAATGATCACATTGTTTAGCTGTCTTGAGGTTAACTGTTATATGTAATGCAAAATGTGTCACGCTGAAAAAGTGCTTGTAACATGAACATGCTAGACCAGGGGTGTCAAACTCAAACTCACACGGGGCCGACATGAAACTCTGGGACGGAGTCGAGGGCCAAACTTAATATTTTTGAAAAAGTGACGCAAATTTGCACATTTTCTTTATCAACATAAATGCAATTTAGAACCTTTTATTTTGGAAACAAACTTATTTCTGCATTAACACTGAATGTGGAATAACCAAATTATACACGAGCAAGTCAGTTTTAAATAAAAGGCATCAGTGGTATTCATTACTTGTGTTATAATCAGCATTTTTAAAATCTATTCAGGATTTATGTTTTCTTGTTTATTCATTTTTCTTATTTTTATTCTCCTTTTTTCTCCTGTAATACGTGTCATCGCTGCTGTGACGTCTAGCTTTCCCCACTGAGGAACAATAAAGGGATTTTCTATTCTATTCATCTATCTGCAGCCTTTCCACTTCCTGTTTACTGTAGGTTAAATCTTTTCTCACGGGCCAACAACAAAATAAAATATCATTTTATCTTAAATGAAAATGCAACATCTCACCTGTTAACTTTCATGTTTTGGAGCAGAAAAAGAGCATCAAACCAACATATTTAAAGCTCAGTTTGCTCCACTGGTTTACTGTGATGCTCACCTGTTCCAGCCAGATACCTGCATCATGGGGTTGATCTGAGCTGAGGAGGAGACTCCTGTTGTTTTGTTCATCTTCATCATAATAATGACAACATTAGATGACAACAGGAGCTCACATAGGTTTGTGCTGATGAACATGTCTGAGCAGCTTGACCACGTTGTTGTGTGTCGGGGAGGAAAAATAAAAACTACAGCAGCCACCGAGTCGTGCTGGTTTGAGCGTGTCGCTGCTCGCTGGAGTTATATCAGCTCTGTCTGGACGTTAGTTGGAAAACTTTGTCTTTCAGTCGTGAACACATTACTGAGCGGCTAGAATCTCCGTTTCTGGGCTTCAACGTCAGAAAACAGCTGAGTGAACTCGGCGCTGAGTGAGAGGAGTGTAGTTTGTCCAAGACAGCAGAGCTGCAGACACCCAACTACCTCTGACTGCCTCGGCGCTGAAAAAACACAAAGGAGGGGGCGCGTCTGCGCCGCGCTGGTGCCACAAAGCATCATGGGAGTTGTAGTCTTTGCGGTAAAATCGGCCAGCGGGCCAGTTTTAATATATTTTTGATATTTATCTCGCGGGCCAGATAAAAATGCTCCGTGGGCTGCATCTGGCCCACAGGCCTTGAGTCTGACATATGTGGTGTAGAGAAACCCAAAGAAAATGTTGTGGGTGGATCAATTAGATTAATTGATAAATCCATGTTAGCCTGATTAACTAACAGGAATCATTTTCTAGTTACCACCACCCACAATGCTGACAGAGGCGCAAATTAATCCTGATAGGACCCAAATAATAGTCAGCTGGACGGCCTCCTCTGAACTTTCGCCTCAGCATCCAAAACCACTGGATAACAGGAATGAAAGGAAAGTGTGTTGATGCAGGAGAACAAGTACGGGAATTCCATTCCAACCTTTAAAATAGAAAACAAGTTCTAACTGAGGAAGTCCAAACCAGGGTCTGGTACAATAACACTCACCGCGGCCTCAACCTCCCTGAAAAAGCAGCGTAATCTAAGGATCTAACGGAACCCGTAAAAGGGCACGCTCGCTTTACACCACCACTCTTCACCACAACGCTTCACCACCACGCTTCACCACCACGCTTCACCACGACGCTTCACCACGACGCTTCACCACCACGCTTCACCACGACGCTTCACCACCACGCATCACCACCACGCATCACCACCACGCATCACCACCACGCTTCACCACCACGCTTCACCACGACGCATCACCACGACGCTTCACCACGACGCTTCACCACCACGCTTCACCACCACGCTTCACCACCACGCTTCACCACGACGCTTCACCACCACGCTTCACCACCACGCTTCACCACCACGCTTCACCACCACGCTTCACCACCACGCTTCACCACCACGCATCACCACCACGCATCACCACCACGCATCACCACCACGCATCACCACCACGCTTCACCACCACGCTTCACCACGACGCTTCACCACCACGCTTCACCACCACGCTTCACCACCACACTTCACCACCACACTTCACCACCACACTTCACCACGACGCATCACCACGACGCATCACCACCACGCTTCACCACCACGCTTCACCACCACGCTTCACCACCACGCTTCACCACCACGCTTCACCACCACGCTTCACCACCACGCTTCACCACCACGCTTCACCACCACGCTTCACCACCACGCTTCACCACCACGCTTCACCACCACGCTTCACCACCACGCTTCACCACCACGCTTCACCACGACGCTTCACCACCACGCTTCACCACCACGCTTCACCACCACGCTTCACCACCACTCTTCACCACCACGCTTCACCACGACGCTTCACCACGACGCTTCACCACCACGCTTCACCACCACGCTTCACCACCACGCTTCACCACCACGCTTCACCACCACGCTTCACCACCACGCTTCACCACCACGCTTCACCACCACGCTTCACCACCACGCTTCACCACCACGCTTCACCACCACGCTTCACCACGACGCTTTACCACGACGCTTCACCACCACGCTTCACCACCACGCTTCACCACCACGCTTCACCACGACTCTTCACCACGACGCTTCACCACGACGCTTCACCACGACGCTTCACCACGACGCTTCACCACGACGCTTCACTATGACGCTTCACCACGACGCTTCACCACGACGCTTCACCACAACGCTTCACTATGACGCTTCACCACGACGCTTCACCACGACGCATCACCACGACGCTTCACCACCACGCTTCACCACGACGCTTCACCACGACGCTTCACTATGACGCTTCACCACGACGCTTCACCACGACGCTTCACTATGACGCTTCACCACGACGCTTCACCACAATGCTTCACCACAACGCTTCACTATGACGCTTCACTATGACGCTTCACCACCACGCTTCACCACGACGCTTCACCACGACGCTTCACCACCACGCTTCACCACCACGCTTCACCACCACGCTTCACCACCACGCTTCACCACCACGCTTCACCACGACGCTTCACCACGACGCTTCACTACGACGCTTCACCACGACGCTTCACCACGACGCTTCACCACGACGCTTCACCACGACGCTTCACCACGACGCTTCACCACGACGCTTCACCACCACGCTTCACCACGACGCTTCACCACGACGCTTCACCACGACGCATCACCACAACGCTTCACTATGACGCTTCACCACGACGCATCACCACAACGCTTCACTATGACGCTTCACCACGACGCTTCACCACCACGCTTCACCACGACGCTTCACCACGACGCTTCACCACGACGCTTCACCACGACGCTTCACCACGACTCTCTTTTATGAGCTACACTTCCAGAACACATCAAGCTCAGTAGTGCAGAGTGAAACTAACGGAAACGTTCATTTCCAGCTGCCTGACCAGTAAAAAACAAAAGTGTGGCTGCGGTAAGCAGACCGTTTTGGATACAAGCGTTCGTCTTTCTCCCCGATATCGCGTGAGCTGCTGAAATCACGCGTGGTCCTGTGACTCTGGTGATTTGGTGACCTTGCGGGACTCACTGTAGGGAACGCTCCCGGTGGGAAGGGAGCTCGCAGGGAAA